ACAGCGCGAGACAACTCCAAAGTTTGACGGGCAGGAGATCTTCTGCGACTCGACGAAGACAGATCCGGTTCCATGGTTCCGCAAGTTCGAGCTCATGCTGCAGCTACACAAAGTCAAAGAACACAAGCACCACACATACTTGTACTAAGGTATCTCCCCATAGAGCTCAGGAATCAGTTGGCAGGTGAGGCTATGATCACGGTCCACAACTTTCCCTCGTTTAGCAAGAAGGCCCTAGATCTAGAGGCAAAGATCAGGCATGGTCACCAACCCACTACGGATGGTATGAAAAAGGCACTCCCTCCTGGCTGGAAGGCCAAGGGGCGCATCATGTTCGTCGACAATGATGGTACTACCATAGAGTTGGACGACGAGTTCCAAATAGGAGTAGGGTCAGAGTCGGGTAGCGCAGAAGCTTCAGGGGGTGGGGCAATCGCTGCCTCAATTCAGAAAGGTAAGGCGACCGGTAGACACCGTGGAGGTTCCCGGTTAAGGAGTCAAGTAGACCCCAATGCTCCCCCATGGGAGAAAGTGGGGCTTACCGAGGACGTGTGGAGAGATCGTCACTCCTGTGCGCCTTGTATTCGTTGTGGCGAATATGGTCCAGTTCAAGTGCTGGAATAGGAAGGTAAAAAAAAAGATCCCGCCTACGATGGGGCAGGCGCCGGTCTCCTCCGCTTCCCAGGGTAGCAATGTTGCCAGCAGTTCTGGCACTGCTTCGAGAAACACATCGGGCCAGTAGGAATTGTAGTTGTTCCTACTAGGGTCGAGATGGTGGATACACCCTCGCCGTCTCCAGAGATGACCCAAGCTATTGACTCTGATGTCGTCCCGCGAGCACATTCAAACCAATTGGTACTGTGTTCGATGAATGTGTTAGAGTCCTTAGAGGAGCTAGAGGAGGAGTGGTCTAGATCGGACCCACTAGCTTCTTGGACGGCCATGGCTAAAGCTCCTAAGGGTGAGTTGTTCGTCGGCGAGGTAGATATAGGTAGCCGTAAGGCAGGGGCCTTCTATGATACTTGTTCGACGAGGAACTTTATCAGTCACGCTTGTGTTGAACGGCTGCGCTTACAGGGGCAAGTGCAACGCCTCAGTCGACCTGTGTAGTCGACCTGTGCCAACAAACAGCGCATGGTAGTTAATGACTAGCTGAAAGACATCGAGTGTCGATTCCCGTATGCGGGAGGGGCACTGGGTCTCGTTCCTAGTCAGCGGTGATCTCCCTATTGATATCTTGCTGGGTATGTACTCTCTTTCGGTTGCACAACCCCAATTTGACTAGGACCAAAAAGTGGTCAAACCCACTTTGCCCGGAGGGGGGACAACCAGATTACGTAAGTATAAAGCTAGTAGTCTGATTGAGTCCTACGGATTCATGTGTCGGACATTGATTCTGGTTCAGCCATTCAACATTGTATTATTAGTTCTTGTGTGAATAAGAGATGAGGAGATAAGGAGGAGGAGAGTGATTGGCGAAGAAGAAGAGCTTTCTCATTGGTCTATGCTGCTATACATCATCTTCTTCTTCTCCTAACCCTCTCCCTCCTCTCAAGTTCATTCGTTTCTTTTTGCAAGTGGATGGCACTGTACTATCTGATGAATGTGTATCTCAAAATTGGCCAGGATCATAACACTTTCCCAGGTTTCATCAGTTTTTTTCCCTCCTCATAACTCAATAGCCATCTCCAGCCTAAACAACATGACGAGGGGTCGGCTGGCAGCGGCTGTGGAGTCCTAAGGGCCAGTCGGCGAACAGCATGTGTTCACGGAAATCGTGCTTGCTCAACGGAACGCAACCAATACGTGCATGTGTGAGAGACAGATAGCATGCATGTGTGTGTCTGAGGGAGAGAAAGGGTGTGTATGTGAGAAAGAGAGCTGCAAGAGGTGTGTGAGAGAGAGTGGGGGCCAGGAGAGACGAATAAGGGAGCTCTCTCTCTCTCTCTCTCTCTCTCTCTCTCTCTCTCTCGTGCGGATGTGGGTGTACCCCCCATTGCCATGCACAAGCAAAAGGGAGAGCAATGGGGGGTACACCCACATCCGCACGAGAGAGAGAGAGAGAGAGAGAGAGAGAGAGAGAGAGAGAGAGAGAGAGAGAGAGAGAGAGAGAGAGAGAGAGAGAGAGAGAG